TCTACTTAAACAAATCCAATAAAAAGAACTATATGCATTTTTTCCTTCCATTTCATTTTTTGAGGGGGAGGCAATGCTGGGGATTAAACCCAGGGCTTAAGCATTGGACCACCAAGCTATATTCCAAGCCCATGAATAGTTTTAAACAGCTGACTGTGCAGGAAACATCAATGAGGTGTTAATTCTCTTGGGAGGCCATGTTCATTAGAAAGCTTTCATTTAGTGTTAATTTTCTTATAAATGTCATAACTTAAACGATTAAGCATTAACAAAAATTATAAATGTCCAAGTATTTGAACTCATAGTTGCTTCATAGGCATAACTTATCAGATGTACAAAATACAACACATAATATTCTTGGTTACACATAGTTTCTAATGTGTTACATGTATTCAGTAAAAAGAGATATTTTCAAATGAATGTAAAGTTTAACAACAATCTTAATCTAATTTTTCTTTAGTAGAGGGGGAAAAAGAAGAGACACCAGCTACACTGTCAATCTATTCATTGTGAGCAGTTAAAATATAACACTGTTGTTGGGCATGGTGGCACACACCTTTAATCCCAACACTTGGGAGACAGGCAGTGGATCTCTGTGAGTTCCAGGTCAGCCAGGGCTTCATGGTGAAACCATGTCTCAAAACAAACAAAAAACTCCACCACTATTTAATAACAAATTCTAGGTCCTTAAAACAAGATTCTAACATAGACTACATCACGAAATTCAGTTTGACCCATGAGGGAAGATCACAGTAGAAAGATTTGAGGTGGGGTTTGAGAAATGACTCAGTAGATAAGAGCATTTACTCTGTGAAAAGCATCTATAATTAGATTCATTTATGAACATCTAGAATTAGGCTAGGAAATTCTGAGCTAACTCTTACACTATTGTCAGACTCAACCATGTTTTGCAAACCTTCAGCAAGACAAAATTCATTGCCAAGGCCCCTGTTCCACTTGGAAAAGCGCACCTCTCACAGAAGTTTACCATGGAAGTTGTATGGGTCAGAACAACCATATATGCTGTCATCAGGGATCATCTCTCTCCAACCAGTGGAAACAAGACCTTTTCATCACCAAGCAGCCCGTGTCTGCTAAAGCATTTTAGCAAATATTCATTATTCTATCTAAACTGGAAATTTCTTGGTTTTCCACATCAGACCACAGATCGTATCTCATTTGTTCCTTTTATATCCATTTATGAGAAAAAAAAGCATTGAAGGAATTTTCCTGATAATTTTACCCCCATTAACAGCTTGCACCCCCTTGCCTACACAATCAGTTCCCTCCTGATGAAGCAGGAATTGACTTGACTGGCCCTTCAGCAGGACGATGGAAGCTAAAGTAGGTGAACTATCACATCAAGATGAAGGGCATCCTCACGTACTTAGGTTTTAATTCATTCTCAATGTCTTTCTAACTTACAAGAAAAATACCGAAATCTTTTGTTTCAAAACCGACATAGCCTCTTGTATTACTCTTATGTCTATCAAGAGAATAGTATCATTGGGGATTTTTTTCCCCTGAACAAGATTGTACCCATTTGATATAAAACATAAAGTTTAGGAGAAATTTCTTGAATGTATACAGGTCAAGATGATTGAAGTTTACTATTTCAAATGTGATCAATTAAAAGGAGCAAACTAAGCAAACTGAGTTAGTACAAAAACACAACAATGAATTTGATCATGATTTTTTATTCTCAGGATTCATCTGATAAAGTCCATATATACGGTGAGTCAATAATTGTGGTTCTGAAATGTATGCCAAACTTCACATTTGGCCCTTTATTTTGGAGAACTGTATACTATTATTCTAAGCTTATTTATGACAAACTATTAGTCTTTGACAACAAATAAGCATAGCTATAGCTATGAAATTATAGCGAACTCAGGATTTGTCTGTCCACCTCACTATCCGCCCCTGGCAAACTCAGCTCTACAGTCTTTTCTACCTCCCTTCAATCAAACCATCCAAAAAACAAGTGAAATCAGTGAGTTGGGCCTAGTGGTGCAGGTCTATAATCCCAGCCACTGGGAGTCTAAAGCAGGAGGATCTGGGAGTCAAAGGCTGTCTGGGCAACAGAGAGTTCAAAGCCAGAGTGGAGTGATTTAGTGAGACCCTGTCTCAAAAAAAAATAGTAAAATGTGCTGGGGCTTTAGATCAGTGGCAGAGGGCTTGCCTAGCATGCTCAAGGCCCTAGTTTGATCCTAGTAACACACACACACACACACACACACGCATGCACGTACTCATGCACACACAAACATATCATTCAGGATAAGAGGTGAATAGGTCAGGCCAGATGTGGTGGTGCATGCCTTTAGTCCCAGCACTTCGGAGGCAGAGGCTGGTGGATCTGTGTGAGTTCCAGGCCAGTGTGGTCTACATAGTGAGTTACAGGCCAGCCTGGGCTACAGGGAGACCCTGTCTCAAAAAGACAGAGAGGGAGGGAGGGAGGGAGAGAGGGAGAGAGGGAGAGAGGGAGAGAGAGAGAGAGAGAGAGAGAGAGAGAGAGAGAGAGAGAGAGAAGAAGAGAGAGAGAAAGGTGTGAGACACAAAAGTGTGGGGCGACATATCTAGTTGCACTACAGGCTCGCATATATAGACTGAGAGAAGTCTTTGACACAAAATTGGGTTGGGATCCATTTAGCAGTACTACAGGATCCAGCATATAGGGCAGAGCAATTGTGCAACTGAGCAAGGATACTGTTCATGGGTGCTTCAAGGGGTTGTTGAAGAATGAGAGAAGGGATGGGAAAATGCTGCAGAAAGTGGAAAAAGAAAATAGGGGCTGGAGAGATGGCTCAGCAGTTAAGAGCACTGGCTGCACTTGCAGAGGACCTGGGTTTGAATCCCAGCACCCATATGGCGGCTAACAACCGCCCATAACTCCAGTTCCAGGGGATCCAATGCCTTCTTCTACAGGCATTGAACAACACGGGTGCACTTAAATATATGCAGGAAATACACTCATACACATAAGAAAATGATAAATCAAAAAAAATTTTTTTGGGTCTTTTTGAGACAGGGTCTCTCTGTAGCCCCAGCTGTCCTGGATTCACCATGGAGACCAGGCTGGCCTCAAACACACAGAGATCCGCCTGCCTCTGCCTCCCGAGTGCTGGGATTAAAGGTGTGCGCCACCACACCCGGCTTATAATTTTTTTTAAAAAAGAAAACAGGTGCATGGAAAAGGTGCAACAGTGCATCACCAGGACTCCAGAGCCACCTCACTATGGCTGCCTACTCTTAATTCTGTATTGAATTTTCCATCTAGTTTTCTATTAACATCCAGTTTTCTGGACATAGAACTGTTAACAATAACACAGGCATAAACTGTTTTTGTGGTGTTGAGACAGGGACTTATGTAGCCTAGGCTGACTTCAAACCCGCTATGTAGCAGAGGCTGCCCTTGAACTTCTGATTCTCTTTTCCTTCCACCTCTTGAGTGCTGAGATCACAGGCATGTATCACCATTTGGTTTTAAATTAAAATAATAATAATTATTATTTTATATGTGTGTGTGTGGTGTGCACGTGCCACAGTGCACATGTGGAGGTCAGAGGACAACTATTTCTGGGAGTTCATGTTCTCTTTCCATGGTGGGATCCAGGGACCAAACTCTGGTCATCAGGCTTGCTCAGCAAGCACCTTTACCTACTGAGCCACCTCACTGACTCTGAACTGAAATATTCTCCAACTTAGTTAAGGGTTAGTTATGATATGTAAACATGAATTTAGTTTTTATAACTAAGTGCACATTTAAAGTGTTGGAAAATGAAGTCAGAAGCATGAACATTTTCTCTACACTCGAGCAGAGCCTGTGAGGTTGTTTGCAAATATGTATAAACTAATTACATATGGATCACAAAATAAAAATGAAGTCTTGCTTCCATTAAGAAAACTGGAAGCTTAATATATAATTTTCAGTAGAAATTACAAATCTTACAGCAGGGCTATCGAGCAAGCATTTTAACAGTGATCAAAGAGGTTTATAAAATTTGAATGAAATATGAATGAATTATTAATAATCTGGAATGCATATCATTATTCAAGTGAATGGACCCCAATGATATCTGTTCAATATTTAGCCAAAGCACTTTTGGGAGTTCCTTGAACATCTGTTACAGCATATCTGATCCAGAGTTTCTATGAAGAGTCACTGATCCATTTCTTAGGTTGTTGCTGGCTTCAAATGCCAATACTTTTGACCCTGAGGATTTGCTGCCTTATTGGTTAGGATGACAAGATAGAATTCTAACACTGTACATTTTCCCCTCAGAAGTATCTGCACTGAACAACAACAAACAAAACAAACAAAACCTCCAAAAAACAACCCCCCCCAAAACTCTAGCTTATTGGGCTACTTTATTGTAGCATCGATAGACCTGTCCATAAACTAGAAAGGCTTAACTTTGACTCAAGTATTATTTCTTGATCAAAAGTGGGTATTTATGTGTACTAGTATCTGCCATATTCTTGGTTTATATTTTACCAAACAACATATTCCTGTTTATGTAATAGAATTTAGTATCTTACCTTTGTTCCTTTGTATTTCTGAGACAGTCTCATGCAATTCAGCTTTATCTCAAACTCACTATGTAGCCAAGGCTGCCCTTGAACTCCTGATTCTTTGGTTATTCCTCTCAAGAGTTGGGAGTATAGATACATACCACAACACCTAGCTTAATTCCTTTTCTTTCTAACTTCATATGACTAGAGTGGAGTACCCTCCATAGGAGTCTACTATAGTGGAGCTTTTTCAGTGTTATAAATGAGAGTGATTCATTCTATTAAACTGAAAGCTACATATATATAGTGAGAAAGAGAAAGAGAGAGCGAGAGAGAGAGAGAGGGATCCAAGTTTTCATTATAAATATTTAAGTCACTTTACTGTTTTATTTTTTTAGACAGGGTCTCATGTAGTCCAGGCAGACCTTGAACTCACTGAAGCCAAGAATGACCTTGCATTCTTGATCCTTCTGCCTTGCCTCCCAAGTGCTGGGTTTAAAGGTGTGTGCCCCATGCCCAGATATACTCCTTGAATATGAAATTGAATATGAAATTTAACCAGATTAGACTAGGTCTTTGGGTTATTACTTTTCTCTCTACTGTATGTGCTAAAGCTATGTGCCTATAACTAATACTCAAGGAGACAGAGAGCTTCTAAGTTCCAGGCCAGCCTGATCTACATAGTGAGACCCTGTTTCAAAAACAAAACAAATAAAATTTAAGAGGAAAAACATTTTTGAAATCTTTACAGCGGAAGTTTTCAATTTTAGAGTTATTCTTCTGTAAAATCAGAGTGGGGTGCTCTCTTTATTAATCCCTGGAGTGAGGATGTAGCTTAGTTGATTAGAGTGTTGATCCTTGTACAAAGCACTAAAATTGTTTTTTTCAAAAACCACCACCAACAACCCCCCACATTTATAATGGAAAGTCTGGTTTTCTGTCTTAGTTGTATGTTTTAATTAACTTTTGAAAACGCTAATAATGATGAGGAAGTAATATTTTAGGTAGCTGAGGATGAATAAATGCAGTGCTTGATATGTACTATATTATCACACTTAAACCTTTAAAGTGTTTAATAAAAGAACATGAAAAGATAGTATAGTTAAAATGTAGATTTCTTTCTTTTTTTTTTTTTCCTGCAAGAGAACATTTGGCAAACAAATTGCCAAAGTCCCTTCAATCGGAAACAGAACACCAGCAGAAGTAATAAGCCGCAGTCAGGCACTGTGGAGCACACTTGTCAGGCCACCATTTGGGAAGTGGAGGCAGGAGTATCACAAGTTCCTGTTTAGCCTGGGTTACACAGCAAGAATTTGTTTCAAAAAACCTTAAAAGAAAAAAGGCAGTACATTGCAACTGTACAGTTAGTAGCTGAATATCTTTAAAATCAAAATTATTGCCAGGTAGCACATACCTGCAATCACAGAACTAAGTCTGGAGCAACAGGATAGAGAACTCAAGGCCAGTTTGATCTACTTAGAGAGATTCTATCTCACCACAAATAAATTACAATTATTTAAAATCCCATTAAAAATAAATTCTACATTTAGCATTTAGACTGTGAACTCCTTCAAGATGACAGATGAGAGCTGTTACTAAAAGGAAAAGTCCCGGACTTTTCCAGGTTTCAACTAAGAGCATCATTTCCCTCTGGCCCTACCCGTCCTCTCCAGGCAGCCCCACCCTGGCTAGATGGAGAATGGAAGCACTGCCTTCTAAGAGCAGAAGAAACAAGAACTTAATATTTAAGTGTCTCACCTTACAGATGATTCAGAAACAGGTGGGTCATGGAGGGGCTTGACTGGAAAAGTACCAGTCAAGAAGAGCTACATGTGCACGATGGTATGCTCCAAGACCATGTCACCCAGTGACAATGGCATTTGCTTAGTTTGTATAAGTAAACGCTGATGTTCACATGGTGAAATCACTAACATCATATTTCTCAACATATGAAGTGACACACGACCATACACACGAATGCAAATTTTTGCTAGAAATTTTTGGAAATGCAGGAATTATTTCTCTTCATAAGGTACTTTTAACCTTTCAGACTTATTCATTGCACAAGTCAGTTTAAGCAATTATTTCTATCAGGTATTTTCTTAATGAATAAAACTGTTTTGTACCCCTTCCCCAATTTGTGCTAACTGGTAACATGCTCAGTGAAACGTCTTAAATACCAGTCCTAATAAATCCAGAAGTCAGAAAGATTCTAACTTAAAAGTGCCAGAATATCTTTCATACATTCTATTTTACTTTATTGTTCACACAAAATCAGAAATTTGGGGTGTTTTGGCAACTGGAGTAAAACACACTGCAAACCAAAAAGAGCAAAGGTGAGTAGCAGAGACGCCGACTGCTGCCTTAAGAAGAGAACCCTTTCGACTCCGTTACCCACTCCCAATATTTATGAGCATCTGCTCCCAGCAGGTCCCTGGACACTGGAGCATGTCAGAATCTAATTTCGTAGCTTGAATTACTTAACAGATTTGAGTTTAGGTTGATCTGTTATTATCCAAAATCCAGGCTTAAATTTTGCAAAAAGTTTCAAAATGCAGCAGAAACTAAAACGCCAGAACTAAAGACACCAAGTGAGGAACCCAACAAAGTATTTCCAGCACTAACCAAATTGCAACCCTTTCAATGTAGCTCGAGGTATTGTAAAGTATTTGTACTAGCTAAACAGCATTCTTGGTTTCCAAGGCCGCTTTTTAATGAGATAGCTTCAAATGTTCACAATGTGTGGCTTTCAGGCACATTTCCTATAACAGTCTCTTCCCTCAGACTCCTGGAAATATCAAAGCTATTTGGTGGTAGAAAATGGTTCTTGTAGTAATAAAGGTTCCATTTCCCAACTGTGCTATTTCAAGTATGTGATTATAAAAATAAGAAATTTGCAATTCATATAAAAGGAAAACTTGCTTAAAATTCAAAAGCAAATCCAGTCAGGTAGAGGTATATAAGACATTAAATAATAGAGTTGGATTCCTTTTTGAAGATTCCAGAAGAGATTGACAGTAGAGAGTTCTGGTTCTCCAACATTTTTTCCATCTTCTCCCCTCCAGTGGTTTTATCCATCTCTCTCTGCATCTTACTATGTATCCAAGGGATGAAACAAAGCACAACACCTCCAACAAGGGGAGGGACCCCAGCAAGGTAGAAGGCCATGTCGTAGGAGTTCAGCTTATCACGAAGTAACCCTGAAAAGGGAAACAGCTGTCACCAAGAGAACAAGTTTGGCTCCCTTATCAGTCACACTGCTGACCAACACTCAGCCTCAGAATTCAGCTCAGCAGAACTAGTTCTAACAGCTCAGATAGCAGACTTCATTTTTTTTTTTTTTAAAGGAAACGGATCTTAAATATAATCTTCTCTGATGAGGCAGGGGAAAAAAAATCTCACATTTTTAATCTTGCCAGAGAGTACAGATCATATCTAAATTATCACTTGTGGAAAATAGTTGCAGCTAAGCTTTGGTTTTCCCAAAGCCCCTCAGAGGCCATCTGGGATATTCAAACACATGGTGGGAAATCCCTTGACTGAAACTTTACTAAAATGTCTATATCTCAAAATGATTTTGTGCCTATTTGGTTTTAACAAGAAGTAATCTTAAACTGCAATCCAAAAGCATTAAAAGTGATAAATCTCAGAGTTGGGATAAAAAAGGGGAGGTGGTTAAATATGTTTGAGAAAGGTAAAAATGTTTGCCAGTCCTTAGGAAGAAAAGCTTAACGTGTGTTTGGCCTCCTGATAGATTCTTGGATTCTGCTTCTGAAAACTATTATGTAGTGTTCTTTACTTCTAATTTCCCTGAAAAATCCAGGACTCTAAATTCTAGAAATTTTCTTAGTGTTTTGAACCTTTACTGTGCAACCATAGTTATCTATAATATTCAGGGAACAGACTGCACTGATCAATCTAATTTCATTGAATACATAGCTAAGGGTATATCTCCAGTGAAGTATCAACACATACAAATGAATGTTCACATTCATTCTGTATACAAACATAAAATACATGTATCTCTAAATATACAGTACTCCTGTCTTCTCAATCCAAATATCCCCCACACAATCAAATCTTTCATCCTGTGGACACTAATAAGCAAGTTTTGCTGTAATACTAAATGACTTCCAAACCTACTGCGGAGTGTCTGTATGTGTGTGTGTGGCGGGGGGGGGGGGGGGGTGTTTCTCCTGCCAGTCTCTGCATACAGTTATTCTGCCCACTTCAGAAAGTTCCTACCTTATTCTTGGTCTGTGAGCAGTTACCATTTCTACTAAAGCAATATTATTCTTACTGAAATGTCATTTGTAATCTTCTGTGGATCTAAAATCCTCCAACTAGGCTAAATTCAATGAATAGTACCTCATCTGAGAAAAGAGGAAGAAGTGGAGGCTTCTCCAGGGACTGCCGCCATTGGACATAAACTCTATGTTGCCTACTCAGTAGTTAACTCAATACCTTGATTCATTAACTGGAATGCAGTTCCAGATATAAGAATGAAGTAAGTTGAATTTTCACTGAGCCTTTCATATTAGGCACAGGTGACTATATAATTTAAATTTTATCCTAATTATATTGTATTAAAGTCCTAGCAATTCACACTGGCAACCAAATAATACTGAACACAAGACGTCTTCATACTAATATTTAGAGGATTTCTAAAGGTACAATTCACTTCTTATAAAATTAAACATTTTAGGGCCTGGAGAGATGGCTCAGCAGTTAAGAACCTGACTGTTTTTGCAGATGACCCAGGTTCGAATCCCAGCACCCACATGGCAGCTAACAACTGTCCATAACTCCAGTTCCAGGGATCCGACAGCCTCTTCTGTCCTCCATGGGCACTGCATGACATGGGTCCACTTACTTACATGCAGGCAATACATGCATACACATAAAATAAAAATAATAAATAAAATATATTTAAAAAATTTAACATTTTAAAGTGAACAACCAGGTGGCATTTAGTAAATTCATAATATTGTGTGAACACTGTATCTGAATCTTCTTTCAAAATATTTTCATCATGCTAAGAAGAAACCCCATTCTCCTTAAGTAGTTACTCTTCAGTCCTTCCCTCCAGCCCTGGCAACCACCAATCTGTTTTCTGTCTTTATGGGTTTATCTATTTCAGATATTTTACATAAATGAAATCATACAATATGTCATCTTTTAAGTTTTTCTTTGTTCACTTAGCAAAATGTTCATGGCATTTGGTAGAATGTATCAGTTCTGCATTTCATTACTTTTATGGCTGAATAATATCCCATTGCATGTATATGATACATTTTGGTTTTTGTTTACTTTTTGGTTACTGATTGGAGTCAAGATCTCACTATACAGTCCCAGCTCTCCTGTAGACCAGGTGATCTTCAATGTGCAGCCATTTTTCTCCCTCAGCCTCTTGAATGCTGGCATTACAGGCATGCACCACCATGCACAGCCACATTGTTTTTTACATTCATCCATCAATGGGCAATCAAGTTCTTTCCACTAAACATTTATTTCCTACCAACTATTTTTCAGGGGGTATGTGCTCTCTTATGTAAAAGCACATATGAATTTAGAAATCTTTCAAAATTTCCATCCTTATGAAAAAAAAGTTCCCATTTGTCTAACATATATACTAAGTAAAAGATAAGGAACTGTGAAGTCTTAGGGGCCAAGGGCATAACTCACTGAAAGAGTATGTGTCTAGCATGCTCCAAGCCCAAGTTCAAAACCCAGCAACCCCCAACAAGTAATATCTCGCTGGGGATGTAGCTTGGTGATAAGGTGATTACAATCCCTACCCCCACCCCCACTTTCCAGCAAACTTTTTCAGCCTACTGTCTACAGCTATTCTTATTTAAAATATAAGCAAGAAAGCACAAAAGGACCATTAATAAGTTATAATACTTTTTACTCATAAGTGAGGCTTTGGGTCATATTTACCTGCGATGGGTGGCCCTACAGTCATAGGTATGGACATGAATCCAAGCAGAAATCCAATTGCTTGGGAAGCATCCTGAGCACCAACTAATTCAAAGGCAATGGGAGCCATGATAGAAATGAAGCATCCATCGAAAAGACCCATGACGAGGCAGACAGCGATGAGGGCCCCGAAGACGCTGCACAGGGGAATCATCATGGACATCAGGCCAATGAAGAAAAAGGAGAGTATCTAGGACAGATGACCACATGTCAACTCTGCCTTCAGGAAATGCAACTTCTCAGTGGTGACTTTTTCTTCCCCCTCTCCCTGATCTTATGTAATCAACTCTCACATTTGCTTAACACTTTCATTAGGGGACACAAAGAATATTATCTCATTATCTTATGTAGTTATTTTCATTCCCAGCCTGCACATTCTTGAAGTCAGAATTTGTTTTGGGGTTTTTCTTTTGGACAGAGCCTCCCTAGTCCTAGCCCACCTAGAAGTCACTATGTGGACCAGGCTGGCCTCGATCTCACAGAGTTCACCTTTCACCTGTCTCTGCTTCCTGAGGGCTGGCATTAAAGGTGAGAGCCATCACACCTGACTGGCTGAACTCAGAATTTGTTAAAAAAAAAAAAAAAAAAAAAAAAAAAATTAAATTTTAAATTTTGGCAGCCATGTGCTAAGCACTGTGCTAGATACCAGAGACTTCTGGATTGGGGAGGGACATTTAAATAAGTACAGATGAAATGTTCCAGATGTTACCACAGTCATATATTTAAAGTAAAGTGGGTACTAAAAAGGGGGGAGGGGATAGACATTCAGGAACTTTCTTAAACTAAAGTTGGACAATTTGCTGAATGTGGAGGCATGTGCTCATAATTTCAGGAAACAGAGGCAGGAGAATTGAAAGTTTAGGGCCAGCCTGAGCTACATGGTAAGAGCCTGTCTCAAAAACAAAACAAAGAGAACAAAAGATTTTTCAGCAGGTAAGAGTGCTTGCCACGAAGTCTGATGATCTGAGTTCCATCCCCAGAACCCATGTGGTGGAAGAAGAGACTCGATTTCTAAAAGTTGTCCTCTGATCTCCACATGCATACACGTGTATGCACACACACTTGCACACATACACAATAAATATTTTAAAACACAACAGAACATAAAAAAATCTTAGATAATCAGAAAAAAGCATATGTATATAATACTGTTTACTAAGTGCCAGACACTGCTCTAATCACTTTAAATGAGTTATTTCACTAGTGATCCTTGAGCTTTAAGAGGTGAGTATTAACGCTATCCTCATTTTTACAGAGGTGCTGGAAGAGGCTAATAACACAGACAAGGCACAAAGATGAAGCTAGCCTAAAATGTGTGGTCCATCTGGGCAGCAGCTTAGAGTGGACAGAATGCTCCTGCAGGTAGGGTACCCTCCAATGACAGTGTGGCAGGAGAGGGACAAAACACAGCAGCCATGTGGATCACTGATTTATCTCTTGTTTTTCCCAGGCCCCCTTGTATACCTATGGGATATCAAGCTTGGCAGTATACAGGGCACACACCCGAGGGCTCTGAAGATGCGGTGTGAGAGTAGGGTAGGATTCAAGAAGGCAGTTTTCAGGCTCAGGAGGCAGCCCAATTGGTAAAGTGCCATACAAGCATGAGGACCTGGGTTAGACTCCCCAGTATCCATGTAAAAATACCTGGTGTATATGCAACTCAAGTGCTGAGGAGGCACATGTAACACACACACACACACACACACACACACACACACACACACACACACAAAGAATGGCAGCTGGCAGTTTTCACAAATTTTAGCACAAGTTGTCCAAAGACACAATAAAAAAATTCTTAAAAATTGCATCACATTCCAGGTGAGTTACCTTTCTAATACCATCATATCACATAGCTGAGTACATTTTCCTTTAGGACTAAAATATAGCTTATAGTAAAATTATGATTGGTTTAAGAGTCTGAATTGGCTTTTGAAAAAACCTGAAACTTTAATGGCTGCACCATCTCTCCAGCCCAGTAGTACTATTAAAAAAAAAAAAAAAAAAAAAAAACCAACTAGATAAATAGCAAAATTTTTAAGAGCCGCCCCCCCCAAAAAAGAAAAAGGATAGAGAATCAGGAAAACTACTGGAAGTGCCTGGATCTCGGGCTGGAGATATGGCTCAGCAGTTAAGAGTACTAGTTGCTCTTCCAGAGGACCTGGGGTCAATTCCCAGCACCCACATTGTGCCTAACAACCATCTGTAACTCCAGTTCCAGGGATCTGATGCCCTCTTCTGACCTCCATGGGCATTGCACAACATGGGTGCACTTACACACATGCAGGCAATACACTCATACACATTTAAAAACAAAGTTAGTATAAGGCTAGTGACATACACTATAACCTCCCCAGCCCTTCAGAGGCTATATACAACTATGGAAACATTGAGACTACATAGCCAGACCCTGTTTCCATAGTTTTATATTTAAAGTATAGTGGGTACAAGAAAAGCAGGGAAAGACATTCTGGCCTTGAACACCCATCCCCTGGCTCAGCCTCTGAAGGGCTCTTAACTGCTAAGGCATCTCTCCAGCCCCATATTAACTTTTGAAAGAACAAAATCTTCCCTTCTCCTAATTTTTTAAATATCTCTTCCTCTGACCCAATTTCCAGGAATACACAAGTGTAATTTCATTGGGCTTAAAGAAACAAGGACTAAGAGGGAGGAGACCAGGCTTAATAACAAATGTTTTCATGGAACAATTTATGTAACCTGAGATCCAGACACTTTACTTTGGGTAGTTTTCCTGATTCTCTGCCTTTTTTTTTTTTTTTTTTTTTTTTGTCTCTTCAAAATTTTGGTCTTTGGTCAGTTGTTTTTTTGTTTTGTTTTTGTTTTTTGTTTTGTTTTGTTTTGTTTTTTGTTTAAAATACTACTGGGCTGGAGAGATGGTGCAGCCATTAAAGGTTCAGGCTCACAACCAAAAAATATATATATATTATATGTATATATATATATATATTAATATATATTTGGGGGTTTTCCTGTTTCTTTTCATGACTACAAGTCCTTTTCTCAAGTTAAACTATATTAATTTTATTCTTTCTTGATTATTTAACCAAGATTTTTATTATTTTGGGACAGGCTCTAGCAATGTAGCCCAGGCTACCCTCAAACGCAATCCCCTTGCCTCAGCTTCTTTGAGTGCTGGGATTATAGACATACATTATCATGCCTAGTTTAAGATTTATTAATTTAAAGTAAAATGCTCATTTTCCTTTATTTATTTTTATTTTTTTGTCTTTTTGAGACAGGGTCTCCCTGTAGCCCCAGCTTTCCTGGAACTCACTATGTAGACCAGGCTGGCCTCGAACTCACAAAGATCCGCCTGCCTCTGCCTCCCAAGTACTGTTAAAGGCGTGCGGCTCTATAAGAACATTTACACAGATAAAGAATGTTTATTCTTTAAACATTTCAGAAAAGCATACCTTATTTCTAAAGTGACTGAAATCTCTTGAAAAGAAGCTGCACCTTCTGTGAGGTTGAATGACTAGAATTTCAATGATTGTGGCGAGGTTGGAATGTTGCATGTCCAGAGCCTAATTATCTTGGGTCACCTTTAGGTCTCAATAGCCACTTATTGCCCCCTTCTATGTGGGAGCTAATGTATTCGTGATCGTTAGGTAAATCCTTTAGAATGTACAGACACCTAGCTCCCACCAAACAAAAGGCTAAGAATGCCATCAGACAGCATCTGAGGCCTGTAACAAAAGTTTCCTCACTTTGCTTTATCCACCTACCTAATGTCTCCACCAACGTATTTGAAAAGCACTGTGATTTATAACTTTCTTTGTCCTGTTACTATAAAACTTCATCAAACTGCTACCACGTCGGAACATGAAATTAGGAACGAACTAAATCTGTGTTTCCTGGGCCATGGTCACCCATATTTGGCTCCAGAATAAACTCTCTCATACCCTCTTTGAGATGAAAGTTTTGTTCTTGCATAGACAATAACTATGGTGGTGAGAAACAATGTCCTTTCTCAGCAGATTTTACTTCCTAAGCTGGTCAGAACATGCTTGCTGTGAGGAATGAATATACCTGTCCTTTAAGTGCTAGGATACTTGGGCCACAGGAAGTACATGTTAAGGTTTAACAAACTGTTCATACAGGAGGGTCAGAACTTCCTCATCACTTCCCAAAATAAATATTCATAGATTAAATACTGATCTATAAATACTAGAACCTAATTTAAAAGATAAATAAATTTCCCATTGCATGCAGTCTTTTTTCTTTCCCTTAAACATGGAAGTTTGGGGGAGACAACACGGGCTCATCCTGTATAGGAAACTGTACTCAGAGAAAAACTGAGCTATATCTGAATAAACACATGGCATTTTTGGAGACAGACACATAAATTGGTCACCATTAGATTCAAATGCTGTCCTTAACATATTTATTCAATATAAAGTTTCCAGAATTTCACAGCTAGCCAGGTACTGAGGGCAGAAAGCAGTTGGCCGCAAAGTCTTGTCCACTCCACAGACTAAGCAGAATTGTTCAGGTCACAGGACTGGGTAGCTGGCTGCTCCTGAAGCATGCAGAGGCCACAGTACTTTCAAAGTGCTGCACAGGGGACTGTTGGACTTTCTCCATAGAACATGGCATATTTATACCAGTGTCAGTCTAAATGGGACTGTGGTACCTTTGACTCCTTTTTTAGTCTGGAGAATAGTATTTGGATACTATTTTAAATAGTTACATTTGGTAAAGTCCATACCTTCATGCAAAATGCTAACAAACAGAATGAAAGACAAAACTAAGCAACACTGACCAGTTCAGTCCATCTCAACTGTTAGAAGTTTATACATGAAGATGGACAGGAAAGTCAATTTTTTTTCTAAATTACAAATATAACTCATGAATACATTCTTCAAACAATTCAAACCTTGGAGAAATACACACAGCCACATATGAAAAGCTCCCTTCAACCCTGTCTCACACTTCCTCTAGAATAACCACTTGACAGTTTGGTTTGTACCATCTCAGGTCATTCATGTGCATGCTTACATTATTTGAGCTATCTGCTTTACATATGGACATAGGTCCATGCTTCATTATATCCACGTCACAGAGAAATATGGCACAATGGATATGATCTAAATCCCAAGTTTTCAATTCTTTTGTAGTTATAAACTTCAAACCTTTCAACATTCACCCATCCAGAACATATATTAAAGACACAAACAAATCTGTAATCATTATTTAACAGTAAATAAAATGACAGACCTGTGAACTTAGACGGTAAGAAGCAGAGCACACAGCCTTTACGCTGCCAAGAAATACTCCAGAGAGCTTTATAAGATTTTGTATAGCCATTACCACTCTGTATAATCCAACTTGGGTATCTCCCCTGCCCAGAGCAGCAGACTTCATGCAGAACTGTTAAGGTGGTTGGGGTGTAGCTCAGTAGTAGAACATTTGGCTAGCATAAAGGAAGCCTATGTTCAATCACAAGACTGAAAATACGTGGAACTGAGGACCTTGAAAGAGGTTTAAATCCAGAATCCTTAGCAAAAAGGGCAGATATTCCTAAGCTCTTTTTAGTCTACAGCTAAAGGCCTCTAGGATAACCAGAGTCTCCTTCCTTGAGAACGTATCCAAGTCAGAATCTGCTTTCTGCATCCAACATAATATTAAATGATAAAAGCAAGGATTTACTAACCATCCACTTTGGACCAGGTGTCATATGTCAAGAATCCTCCCTACAGCCATCTTCTAATTCAGAAGAGTGGTAGGATGTGGTACACTGGTATCTCACCAGAGCCCAGGCTCTTCTGCTCTTTGGCCTCACAAACCAGAGATACATGTGACTTGATGTTAGATGGTTGTAGGAAAGCTATGAAATGTGTCTATGTCACCAGTATTCTAGGCCTGGCTGCCACTCAAAACTGACTTCAAGGAGACAAGGAGTGGAAGAAAACTTGTCACAGCCCCAGGAAGTTGTGTTGTATGAGATCAAAGAATCAAAAACCTTGGGGCAAGAAAGCCAGGAAAAAAAGAGAGACAAAGGGGAGGTGAGGAAGTGAGCCCAGTATCCTGTGCAGGATGAGCCTTTGTAACCTCCTAGGCTCCTGAAAGAGCAGCCTGCCAACAGCTCCCAGCAGCCACACAACACCAAAGTATTTCACGGCCTCTCTGAAACACAGTTATCACATCTGTGACTTAGGTACTATTAGGTATCACAAATACTGTTCTACATCTGGATGGAAACACACACACACACACACACACACACACACACATACAAAACTAGAAGCTGGGCACTGGTACAACCTGTAATCACAGCACTGGAGAGTCAGAGGCAGGAGGACTGCAATGAGTTTGAGGCTAGCCTGAGCTATACAGCAAGATACTGTCTCAACAACAACAACAACCAAAAAAAAAAAAAAAACCCAAACAAACAAACAAACAAAAAACAGAAGCAAAACTCCACCACCACTACCAATCAAAATAAAACCAAAAAATGAGATAAGGACTAAAAGAAGTCAGGTTGTACCTAACCTTTTGTCTAAAATGAAGTATCTGACCTTCGCTGGCTTTTAACTCACTTCATGCAAATTATGGGACAAGTTAGCAAAAAGCTTTTGAAATTACTTGAAATACTCAAATTTTTGTCCCATTTGTGGAGAGGGGAAACTTTTAAAAAAATGTTTCGGAGAGATCTTTATTATAAAAATGAACCGCGGCTTCATCTGCTTTGGGACCTTAGTTGGAGCATCCATTAATCTCGCAGGTGTTCTTCCCCTTGTCCTACACTTTAACTTCATCCTAGAATTCACCTAACACACACACACACACACACACACACACACACACACACACACACCGCATCTAGAGTGATTTTAAAAGAGAAAATCCATACCAATATTCTCCAACAAAGTAAAATCTGTTGTCTTGGCTCTGAAGATCTGAAGGAAACCCTAACCCTCCCAGCTTTTCAGCTTCGCCCGCGTCGCTCTCCCTTGTCTTAGTCCCAAGCACACCAAGCTATGCCCTGCTCTAGAAACTCAGCGACCATGTCTATCCTGTTTGTATCACCCCACTTAGGTTAGTAACCGGGGCACAGGGGGTGTTAGAATGGTTTTTTACAGAATGAAAAGCTGAAAGTCTGCAATACAACAAATTTCCAGTAGAGGGCTCCCTTTACATTTAAGAACAAAACTACATAGATAAGGGTATTTACAAGAGCTATTACTGATAAAGGATGGAATAACTGTCAAATAATAAATTCTTTCATTGTGTGCTTGAGACAGGGTCTCGCTCTGTAGTCTAGGCTGGCCTCAAACTTGTGGCAATCCTCCTATCTTAGACTCACAAATGCTGGGGTTATAGGTGTAAGCTACCACATCGAGCTGAAAAATACATTTAAAAATGTGTGTGTGTGTGTGTGTGTGTGTGTGTGTGTGTGTGTGTGTATCATACCATGGTGCACATAGATCAGAGGGCAACTTTGTGGAGTGAGTTCTCTCCTACATGGGTTTTGGGGATCAAATGCACTTCGTCAGGCTTTCAAGGTAAGCACCTTTACTCACTGAGCCATTTCACAGGACCCCCTTTTTTAAAAGTGGCACATAAACATGCACGAAGACCTGGGGTTCACTCCCAGCATTCAGGGGAGGGAAGGTAGCACACCAACAGCTGTCTCCCTCTCCCGCTAGCTGTGTGACAGGCTCCTTTCTATGAATGTCTGCCTGGACCCACAGCAAGGCAGCCTCTGTTCCTCAGTGTTCACACCCATAAGTAGAAATTAAAAAACAATACCTCCCTTAAAGGGTTGGGGCAAGGAATGGAGATGATGCACATAGAGCACTTAGTTCATTATCCAGCATGTGAAAGTGCTCGATAAATGGTGCTTTTCACTACTTACAGTCAATTATAGAAGTTACTTTATCTGTAATAAATGCTTTTTCTACTCAGTTTCCCATTCCCGAATTTCACTTCTTTAAGACACTGCTCATGCCACCTTGTGTTTACTCTCCAAATCTTTTTCTTTTTGGCTTTCCTTTACCTTCCTTTGGATGTAGCTGTCTGTATTTCCATTTATTCAGCTGATCCTGATCAGTCTTCTGCCACCCCACTGAAGCGCCTCTTTGTACTGTCACTACAGTCACCCCACCAGCTCCTGATACTGCTGACCACTCCTGCCCCTAGAAGCACTCCATTCCCAGATGTTTCCTACCGAGTTGTCACTCCCTTTCGGTCTCCTTGCAGGCCTCCAGACCTTGCAGCCAGTGAATACCAAAGTCCTACAGTGCTCTCAACCAGCCATGAGCTCCAAACTCAACTTGGTTTTTCACAGGCACTATACATTAACATCGCAAAAAAGGTCACTCCACTCTCCCAGGACTTAATGAATTACTGATCTTGTGAAAACCACCTCCACCTCCACTGCTGGCCATGCCGCAGGTCTCAGGCCCAGCTTAGGTGGTTCCACCAGGCACTTGTTCTCTGTACACTTTACTATTTGATCCCAATGTCTCCCCCTTGGTTTCCTCCTGCCTAGATTACTTCAGTAGTTTCCAACTAGCCCCAGTGCCCCTACCCCTGCCTCTAAATAATACCATAAAATTCACCAATTATAAGTATACTGTTACAACCATCACTAGCCCCTGATTCATCAACCACTAATTCATCTTCTTACAGACCGGGCTACTCTAGACTGTGTATCAATGGAACTATTCAGCGTAGCCTCTGGCAACTATCTCGACTCTTGCCCCATCCTCTACACCATTCTATCCTTCACAATGACCAGATTAATCTTTATAAAACACCATTCATATCACTTTGTTGTTTAAAATTCTTCATTTGGCTCTTGGTAGACTGCAGAATACTGCTCATCCTCTTTGGTTGTTATGTTTGTTTGGTTTGTTGGTTTGTTTTTTAAATAGAGTCTTGCTATATAGCCCTGGTTGGCCTAGAACTTGCTATGTAGACCAGTCTGGTCTCAAATGCATAACAATTCTCCTCCCTGTACATCCCTGGTGCTAGGATTACAGGCATGTACCACCACACCCAGCAGTTCACCCTTTTTTGTGCACATAAGGTCTTCCTAACCTGGCCTTCACCCAGCTGCACCACCTACTACTCTCCCTTCATGCCATTCAAGCATCCAGCTTCCCAGGCATTCAGACCTCCACATCTTTGGTCCATGCGGATTCCTCTGCTTGGAACATTCTTCCCTTTCTTCCTTGCTTCTCTGTCTCTCCATTCTCTACCTCTCTGTCTGTTCATCCACCTATCTACCCACCCATCCATATAAAGCTAATACTTTTTTTGTGCTCCTGGAGATCAAACTCAAGGCCTTGAACATGTAAGATAAGCACTCTACTAAGTTACATCCCCAACTCTTCAACTAGTACCTGTCTCTACATTATTTAGACCCTTATTAGTCATTCAGATTTTTCCCAGGACAGCCATTTTTTTCACTGTGCTACACTTTTATCTGTGTCTCCCATGAGACCTTTAGCTACTAACTGAGGATTACAGACAATGTTTGACTCTACAGCACCTAGGAAGCATAGTGTCTGAGCATGAAAGACTCTACCTGCCGATTGTTTGTCAATAATAACCTTAGAATTTGCATCTGTTTATGCATACCCATAATACCCAGCAGGCAATTTGCAATAAAGCAGTTCAAAAGAAGCACAAGTCTCACAAGATATTGCAAATGGCACTAGATCTGCACGTGACTGAGAACTAGTCCGAAAATAAAGACTTCCTAGAAAAGCCACAGTTAAAAACATTTTGGTTTGGTGGAGTTCCCTAACAAAAGAAAAAAGCCTATTGTTTGACTGACAATTTCTTATATTTAAACCTCAAGTTCATACCAAATTGTTTTGTCCGTGAAAGTTGTCTATAGAAACTGTGTGATAGGAAGTTGTTTACATTTTTATACAAGAACATAAGCATTTAGGTACATTTAGCGCACCATGAAATAGCAAGAAAAAAAAAACCTACTGAGGAAGAAAAATCTAAGAAAGTACCTGTAGATAAACCTTCTTCACGCCTGGCACATAATCTGCAATTCGTCCAAAGAGAAGGCGTCCGACTCCTGAAGTGATGCCAATGCACATGAGAACCACCACTTTGTTCTCTTCATCTTGAAATCTTTCATTTACATGTTTCATCTGTAGTCAAAGAAAAAGAAACCACAGTAAAAATATGGTAGGGAATCTCCACAAGGTTTGAGGCTGTGCATCAACTGTGCTTTTCCTTCAATGTGCTATATGCATGCCTACCCTGCTTCCAAATTAAAATATTTAAAATTTTCTCCTGTGATGATTTTCCAAGGGAACACATAAAGAAAAATCTAACATGATTTAGCTTACACAAAAGGAATGGGTTCTTGGTGCCTGTGGTGGCAAATGCCTGTAATCCTAGCTCTCGGGAGACTAAGGCAGGAAGATTATAAGTTCAAGGTCAGCCCAGGTATGCAGTTCAGTTCAGGGCAGTATCAATTATGGTACAAGACCTTGTCTTAGAAAACCAAAATTAAAAAAATAACAGAAAGAAATTAGTTCTTACAATATTTTTTTTTTCAGTAAATAGACCAGCACACACTAACAATGAGCCATTCATAAAAGGAACAACCTTGGTCTCTTACAGAGGACCTGGCATAATATCTGCCCCCAAAGTCAGCGAAAGGGTCAGCTCTGGCATTTCATTTCTTCCTGAAGACCAAAACCAAACTAGTACCTTGAAATAAGTTACAGCAGAACTTCCTAGATGAAAGTTTAAGGTTCCCTAGTTCTCTATTTGTATAGCATGCAGACAGAAAAAGATACAGGAGCTCTGCCCTTTATCAGTCCTAGAGCAGAGGGTGAGCTTCTTCTCCAGAGTCTCAGTTTGCCTATAAACTAGAAGCAGCAGCAGTATCTATTGCAAGAGTGGTTATGAGGATTAAGTGAAACGTCTATGTAGGGAACTTAACAGTTAAGGACATAGCTCAGTGGCAAAGCACTTGCCTAGCATGCTTGGAGCCCTGGGTTCCATCTATAGCACAACAAATAAACTTTAAAAAAATTTTTAGAAAAAGTGCCTGACACAGTTTAATGCTATTAATTTTGGATGTCCTTTTACAAAGGACCTTTTGGAGGCATGTTTCTCTGGAGTAAAGGGAAGAGATTTGGGCAGTGGGGAAGAGGGAAACAGACCTTTTTCTTCCACTTAAAGTCTACTTACAAAAGTGACTACAGTGACCTCTAGGCAATAGACAGCCAGCCAGTAAGCAATTGGTTGACTTTTCCATAATGACCTAGCATTTACTGTCCCTTATAGCAAACATCCACCTGAGTTCTAGAAGACTGCAAAGAAGCTTCCCGTCAAGCTCAGTGACCCACATTAACTCTAAAGTGGCAGTAGTGAATGTTTTTGGATGACAGCTCCTTCCTTAGACAACTTTTGTTTAACTTTTCCCCCCAATTTTCCATTTAAAAGCCCATTTGTATATCTTCATAACACCTCTTTCTTTCCTTTCAAAATTGGTAACTGTTCTAACTTTTCTATTTTCACCCACTGCTTCAGAATAATCTTCCTAAATATGACTTTAATCTCAACAATCCCTTCTTCAAAAGTTGCTTACAGCCTACATTTTATTCAAAGCTCTCTATAATCTGTCACTAATCTATCTTTGTATGTTTATTAACTACTGATCCTTGGCTCTGAAGTAGAAAATTCAAAGTCTACCAGGCCCATTAAAAAAAAAAAAAAAAAGTGAAACAGGGGCTGGAGAGATGGCTCAGCAGGTAAGAACACTGGTTGTTCTTGCAGAGGACCTGAGTTTGAATCCCAGCACCCACATGGCAGCTAACAAGTATCCGCAACTCCAGTTCTAGGGGACACGACACCCTCTTCTGACCTCCACAGGCATTGCACAACATGGGTACACTTCCATACATGCAGGCAATACACACACACACATAAAATAATAATAAATAAAATACTTTAAAAAAAAGTAAATCCTAGAAAAGACATGCACTGCAGTTGAACATTACAACCCATGTTTTCCAATTCTACCTCCCAGCCCCCCTTTTATTTTTTACTTTTTTAAAAAGGTCAGAAATATGAAGTTTAGGTTTTATGTAGGAATGCTGGCACCTAACTTAAACGTAGAACACTGTGTGATCCAATGCTACAAAAGCAAAACAGAACAATGTCTGCAAACTCCATTAAGCCAGCTTTGATCTCAGCCCTAATCCCATCTGGCTCAGCAGGAAAGGTTTATTCACAAGGTCAATTAAATATGCTAATATGTAGCCTGGCATGGTGGCACAAGCCTGTAGTCCCAGCACTTGGCAGGCAGAGGCAGGCAGATCTCTGTGAGTTCAAGGCCAGCCTGGTCTACATAGTGACTTCCAGGACAGCTGGGGCTACAGGGAGACCCTGTCTCAAAAAGACCAAAATAAACAAACAAACAAACAAAATGTTCTTACTGTATATTTCTGCTGCCTCTTCTGTCCTCTTAGGCTTTCTACTTTCTTGCTATTGCCTAACACTGTCATTGGCACCTTCAATATTACATGTGTTCCTACCCAGCCTTGCTAAATTCTCTGGATACTCCAAGTAACCACATCAAACTAGACATTATCCATCCGCCTATTTTGTGAATAGGCAGCTCAAAGTCAACATGACCCATACTGAGCTCACCTGCCCCTTACAACTTGCCCCCCCCCATTTTAGTTAATATAGTACTATTGGTCTACCCATCACAGTAGAACACAATAATCATATTATTCCAGCTTCGTTCTTCAAATCACCAGCACCAAATCTTACATATGCTTCCTTTTGTCTCTGTTTCCCATGGTGCTTTAGTCTAGGTTATTGTCACTCCTTACCTGGACCACTCTAGCAACCTTCTAAAATGCTTCTTGTTTGAGCTCCTACTCCTAAATCTCCTAGGTTCAAAATTTACAACTGTCACTTCTGGGCTTAATCTTCTCTTAGTGTTCATAGCCTAATTAACACTCAAACTTCTAGTTTGACAATGACCTCTGCTTTGCTACTGTAGCCTCGTCGTTGTAGGCATACCATCCTCATACTATAATGAGCACCAAGCACTAACATATGACTAGTCTAAGCTGAGATGTGCTACCAGTGCAAAACACATAGAGAACCAGTAGTCAATGGGGAGGGGAAAGCATAGCCTCATACTGAGTCCCTGTTAAACCAATACTTCAATAATTATTGTAAAAAGTAATTCCATTTGTCTCTTTACTTTTTCTTTTAATATGGCTAATTTCAAATTTTCTACTTTAAAAGTACAACATGACTTGAATTATGTTTCTTGAGGAATATGCCTGTGGGTGCAAGGATAACATAGCTGCTGATCAAGGTCCTAAACTTTTAGACAAAGTAGAAAGAGATGAAGCTCAGTTCTGGAGAAAGATGACCTGATTCAAGACAAACAAGGTATGATGTATGTTCCCTGGTTCCCTTCCTTCCTGGAATTTGAAACCAAACTCTAATGCATCAATCCACTTTAGGAAGCACCAAATAGATCTATACTCCTGTATTCAATGCTGAGAATCAAAGCCAGGGTCTCACCTATGCTAAGCACCTGGCATACCATTTAGCTATATCTCCGACTCTTATTATAACTTATAGAGACATTCCTTAATATGCATAAAAGACTAAATTTATCAGCCATTCTTTAGATGAAGCTAAGAACACTGAAAATTTTCTATTTTTAGTTTTTTACCCCTTCCTCCAATCTACTTCATAATATTGAAAAGAAATAATGTGAAATATGTGAGATCCTTAGAAAGAGACTAAGTTGATATGAGTATATCATTTTCATATACATTTATGAAAATGTCATGAAACCCATTATTTTGTAAAATGAATACACACTAATAAAATTTTTAAAAAATAATAAACTTGGGGCTGGAGAGATGGACGGCTCAGTGGTTAAGAGCACTGGTGTTCTTACAGAGGACCTGGGTTCAGCTCACAACTGCCTGTAATTCCAGTTCCAGGGAATTGGACACCCTCTCTGGCCTCTGCAGGCATTGCAGGCACACATATACTTATATATATGCAGGCAAAACAGGCATACACATAAAATAAATAAATAAGTAAATAATAAATAGTGTAAATTTAAATTATTCCTTAAGTGGAAACTTGGTTCTTCAACTACAAAGAACATCATTTCATCTAATTTGCTGTCACTGTCATTTAAATAAGAACTTCTATTTCTTTTATTTTATTTATTTATTTTTTATGTGTATGGGTGTATTGCCTGCATGTAAGTACATTGTATCATGCAGTATCCACAGAGGATAGAAGAGGGTGTTGCATCCCTTGGAACTGGAGTTATGGATGGTTGTTAGCCTCCATGTGGGTGCTCAGAATTGAACCATGTTCCTCTGCAAGAGCAGCCAGTGCTCTTAAGTACTGAGTCATGTCTCCAGGCCCCAAGAAGAACTCCTATTTCTAATGCTCCCTCTTTATGCACCCCACCAAAATCTGCAAGTTTGTTTGGTGATTAAGCAAGGGAAACCTGCAGGCCACGGACGCTGTGATTCTGTGTCTTCAAGATTCTTCTTCACTGAGGGGTAGCAGTATCCAAGCAGGTGTGGTGTGTTATTCTTATAGCCTGAGCCTCCAGGACTTTCCCATCTATATTCTGAATCTCTCATCCTCTGGATACTTGCACATACTTGGTTTAGCACAAGGATAACATTGGGAAAAACTGATAATTCGAATGGTCACATGAGTAGAGACATGAAACTGTTAGATACTTTCACATTTAATCTAACATGTTTTAAACAAATAGCTTATTATAGTCTATTATTTATCCAGGGGATATTATTTTTACAACAGTTGTTTAAAGTTAACTTTTTGGGGAGCAAGGGGTATAGTTACACAACACAGATGCACTTATACACATGCAGGCAATATACTCATGCACATAAAATAAAAATAATAAATAAAAAATTTTTTTGTCTTTTTGAGACATGGTCTCCCTGTAGCCCCAGCTGTCCTGTAACTCACTATGTAGACCAGGCTTGCTTTGAACTCACAGGGATCCACCTGCCTCTGCCTTCCCAAGTGCTGGGACTACAGGTGTGCGCCACCACACCCGGCTTAAATAAAATTTTTTAAAAAGAAAAACTTTACTGTGTGTATA